ATGATGGGGGTGGCCAAAGATTACTCTTTGATGGCCAAGACCACCACTGGCCCCCTCCTACCAGGCCGTTCCCGTCTTTTTCTTGTCAATTATGAATGTTATGTTTTCAGCTGTTTTGATGGTTTTTTGTACAAAGTTTACTTTGTGTAATAGTAACAAAATATATATTAAAAAGACATAAGACATGAACCGAAAATTATTTTAAATTTTCATTTCCAGCCAATTCTGTTCTGAAAATATATTCAGACAAGTTATTTTTAAACATAAATACTTACACTACATAAATATTTGGCCAAAAATATAATCAACATGCTTTTTTAATGAAAATTAAATAAAACAAAGGTTGTTTTTTGATCATTTTTAATTTTGGCCTCTTGAGTTGAACTCTCTTTTATTCAAATGTCACAGCTTTGATAAGAAGTCAGAAAATTGTGTGAAGAATCTGATGGTTGAAAAAACTCAGTAGAAATCAAAGAGCATTTTCCTGAAACTACTGTAAAATCCTTCCTCTTCTAATCTTGTAATCTAATGAAAAATGTTTCTACAACGGAAACCTACCGGGCCGTTCCTGTCTTTTTCTTGTTTTTGTAGCAGTAGACTCCCAGCACAATGGCAATAATTGCTGTCACTACGATCGCCAAGATTCCCGCCACCAAACCGGACATGTCCACTCTGGATGCAGTTGGTTCTAAAATAATCAAAAAAGTTGGTCTCTAACACAAATCAATCTTTCAGCAGAAATCACTGCACCAATGGCTGCTTCCTGTTAGCTTTGTAATTTTACTTTTATTGTTTTGTCATAAATTTGTTGCAGTCACTCCTGCATGCTTCAGGCTATTTAAAGCTTTTATCTTTTCCACGGTCCATATTTCAGGAGATGGGTGCTATAACCAGTTTTTTGCAACTTTTTTTTTTTTTTCAAAATAGTTCATTTTTTACATGTACTATACATCTACTTTGTAGTATACTTGTTGCATTTTTGTCTTCTCATGCTACTTTTAGATTTTAGCAAGCATTTGACTATTTTTATCTCTTGGTTAAACTTTTGCAACTTTTTAAAATTTTAGCTGCTGTTTTGTTACTTTTGGCTTTGGGCTATTGTGTTGCTCCGTTTTTTTTTTTAGCATTTTCTTTGTGTTCTGCTGTTTTAGCTTTCACAGTTTCTTCTACAAATGTCAGCATTCACATTGGAGTTTTACACAAAATGCAATATCTCAAGTTTGCTTTTAGTTTGAATGAAACTCAGCAAAAATGTACAATTTCTTTAGATTATCTTATTTTGGGTGATTGAGCAGAATTATTTTAAGTGGGAAGTCTTGATTTTAATTGCAGCTGCTTATTATGGCAACTAAATTTTAAATGTCATCCAATGAATCGTGTTGCATTGAATAAAACTGGTTTAGAAGACAAGTTTACCAACATTTTGGAGCATATATGTCTTTACATAATGCACCACATTTCCACAAAACTTTCAAAATACAAGTGTAAATGGATGGCCAGTTCTATCTCTCTGCCCACAGAAGTCCAAGCTTTTAACGCTTCTTACTCTAAACTCACATGCAAATCGCTCACTCCTCTCCATCCAAGCATACTCTATGGTCTTTGTTAGCTTGGTCTAAATGAGCGATGTGCAAGAAGGTGCAACTTTGCGTGAAACTGTGTGGGTACTAGATTTAAAACAGCAACAGACTGCTGTTGTCCACTCAGTAAAAGGAAAAACTGAGGAGGAGTCCACTCAGAAACATAGTCTTTCATTTTCCCTGTAAACACAGCACTGATTGTAAAAATGTTTTTACACAGAAAACATCCCAGATGCTGTAGGGTCCGAGTTAGGGCCTAGGCCGACTATCAGGCCTGAATGTGGAGCCTCCCACAAAAATACACCAGAAACCAAAAAGCAGGCAGAGTAGACGCTGAACACAAGAAAAAGACAAAGATGGACAGTATAAGAACAAAAAAATCCTTTTAACTCAATTTTACAATCACTGAGCAAAAATTTGGTATGAAAGTCTCCGAGGGGTCATCCAGCCTTTACTTTGAAGACTTTGTAAGATTGCAACTAAAACTCTGAACATGAAAGGAGGATGGGTGATATCCTGATGCATGCTCAATAATCCAGGTAGAAAAATCTAAAAAAAGTTAAATTTGGTCCTCTGGACATTCAAAAAACAAAACAAAGCAAACCAAAACAAACAAATAAAAATGTAGAAACGTTTCGTCTTTCATCCGAAAGACTTCTTTAGTCGGAGGTGCTGTATTCAGCTCAGTCTTATAAATAGCACCTTCTCGTAGTGGATCAACCAGTTTGCTGCTGACAACCAAAACCAGCTGCTCCCATGATCAAGAAGGACCATCAGCCTAACAATGGATCATTAGCACACTGATGGCTGTTTACTATTCACAGGAGGCTGAGTGATATTAGCAATAACAGCATTGTAAGAGGGGGACAATTGAACACGGAGGCCTCCACCCCTGTTTAATGATGGATGGTTTCTTTTCACAAAGATGACCTCCTTTACTCCTCTCTCAAACCATCGTTCCTCTCTATCCAGGATGTGAACATCTTCATCCCTGAACGAGTGACTGCTGGCCTGAAGATGAGTGTAGACCACAGAGTCCTGGCCTGATGTTGTTGATCTTCTGTGCTGGGCCATCCTTTTGGCCAGTGGCTGTTTCGTTTCCCCGATGTAAGACTGATCACAGCCCTCCTGACACTGAACAGCATACACAATATTACTCTGTTTGTGCCGGGGGACTGGATCTTTGGGATGAACCAGCCGTTGCCGTAATGTATTTTGGGGTTTAAAAGCCACTGGGACGTTGTGTTTAGAAAATAATTGATTTTAAATTATAAAGGATTTTGAACCAGAAAGACTATCATGAGAAAGTTATGAAACTCCTTAGTGACTTAAACACTTATGAACTGCTGAAAAGAGATCCAGGAAGTGGTTACAAAAAGAAGTTGATGGATTGCCTGAAAATTTTGAAGCAGGACAAGGCCATTTTCTGTACCACAGACTGTACCCAGGGGAGTCCACACCTAGTCTGTATGGTTTACTGTCACGAATCACGTTCCATAGATTATATTTTCTGTCACCCTGATCACTCTTTAAAGTTTGCTATAGATCTTTTCTGTGAGTTTCATTTATTCTGTCCGCTCTGGTAATGTTTTGTGTACGTGAGTTTTAGTTTGTCTTCTTTGCATGCTGGTTGAGGGTGATGTTGCGGTTGTTTAGTTTTGTCTTCACTGCAGCCAGCAGCAGCTGATTGAACTCAACTGGCTGCACCTGTCTCTCTCACCCTTTAAAAGCTGCACTCTTTCTCCTCTTTGGTGCCCGGTAGTTGAAAACAGTTCGCTGCAAGTAAATACCTCGCGTTTATGATCCTGCCTTGTTTCCCCATAGCCTTTGTGTCCCCTTGTTATAGTTTACCTGTCTCCTTGTTCCTGTTCTGCTCCTGGTTCTTGTTTTCCCCTCTGGGCTTGACCTCCCGGCTCATAGACCCACGACTCACCTGGACATCTTCTCTCGCTCGACCCTTTGGATTATTACATCTTCTGCTTTCGGTTCTGACCTTCGCCTGCACGACAACGCCTCTTCGTCTTTTCCTCCGGTACCTCCTGTCTTCGGCTCTCCAGTTTTGGACCCTGGCTTGTGTGACCACATCTCTTTGCTCAACGGACTCACCACCCACCTGTTGCTGCGGCCGGTTGCAGCTCCTCACCGGACTCAGCCTCTCCTGCAGCAATCCGGATCAGTTTGGACCTCGTCAGTCTCCAGAACCTTCAAGCTCATCTGAGACGGTTAGTGGTCCTCCTCATTCTGACTTTTGCACTCCATCATCTCCTGCACGACCACTAACCGATCTCTGTCTCATAGACTCGTTCCTGATCCAGAAGCCAGAATCGGTCCAATCTGCTATACTTCACCTTGAAAATAAATATAATTTAATTTTGACTTTTTGTGTGGTGTTTTTGGTCCAACCGTTAGGTGGTTCGTTACATTTACCTAAAATTCACAAACAAGATGTACCTTTTAAAACCAATTGTCAGCATGATTAACTCTGTCACCTACAATGTTTCCAAATATCTGGCATCTTTACTCATCCCTTTAGTTGGCAGCTCAGAACACCACATACAGAACACCATGGACTTTGTGGATAAGCTGAGGGATGTCATCATGGAGACTGATGAAACAATGGTCTCTTGATGTCACGTCACTCGTGCATTCCTGTTGATGAGGCAGTAGAGGTGGTCAGTTTAAGGTTAAAATCAGACACCACTCTGAGCAGTAGGACCACACTTTCCACAGAACAACTGTGTCAACTCTTGAAACTGTGCCTGCAGTCAACCTACTTCACCTATGGGGAGCAATATTATAGGCAGAAACATGGGTGTGCTATGGGGTCTCCAGTTTCTCTTATTGTGGCCAACCTGTACATGGAGGAAGTAGAAAAAAGAGCCTTGACGTCCTTTTCACGGACACCACCAAGTCATTGGTTCAGGTACGTTGACGACACCTGGGTTAAAATTAAATCTCAGGAAGTCCAACATTTTACTGATCACATCATCTCTGTGGATAAATACATCAAGTTCACACGAGAAGATGTAAAAAATGGCAGGTTGGCTTTCTTTGACTGTGAGGTCTCAGTCTCTGATAGAGGACATTTGCAAACTGAGGTGTACCGCAAACCCACCCACACAGACCAGTATTTGCAGTTTGACTCCCATCACCCTTTGGAGCACAAGTTAGGAGTCATCAGAACTCTGTACCACAGAGCAAACAGCGTCCCCACTAACTCAGAAGCCAGGCAGAAGGAGAAATCCTACACAAGACAGGCTCTAGAGCAATGTGGATATCCTAACTGGGCCTTCATGAAAGCAGAGAAGAAACCCAAACCGGACTCCAGTCAGGTGAAAAGGAGGAACCCAGACCAGTGGTCATTCCGTATGTTGCGGAAGTATCAGAGAAACTGAGATGTTTGTTTTTCTAAACACAACGTCCCAGTGGCTTTTAAACCCCAAAATACATTACAGCAAAGGTTCATCCCAAAGATCCAGTCCCCCGGCACAAACAGAGTAATATTGTGTATGCTGTTGAGTGTCGAGGGCTGTGAGCAGTCTTACATCGGGGAAACTAAACAGCCACTGGCCAAAAGGATGGCCCAGCACAGAAGATCAACATCATCAGGCCAGTACTCTGCAGTCTACACTCATCTCCAGGCCAGCGGTCACTCTTTCAGGGATGAAGATGTTCACATCCTGGATAGAGAGGAACGATGGTTTGAGAGAGGAGTAAAGGAGGCCATCTTTGTGAAAAGAAACCGTCCATCATTAAACAGGGGTGGAGGCCTACGTGTTCAATTGTCCCCCTCTTACAATGCTGTGATTGCTAGTATCACTCAGCCCTCTGTGAACAGTAAACAGCCATCAGTGTGCTAATGATCCATCGTTAGGCTGATGGTCCTCCTTGTTCATGTGAGCAGCTGGTTTTGGATGTCAGCAGAAAACTGGTTGATCCACTATGAGAAGGTACTATTTATAAGACTGAGCTGAATACAGCACCTCAGACTGAAGAAGTCTTTCAGAAGAAAGACAAAATGTTTCTACATTTTTTGTTTGTTTTGCTTTGTTTTGTTTTTTGAATGTCCAGAGGACCAGACTTAAGTTTTTTAAAGGATGGGTGATGTGCATTCATTTGAAGAATACTAGACCTTCAGTCTTATTTTTTTACAACTCAGCAATGATGAGCCAACCTTGGATGATGGAGCTCTTCACTCTATCTTTAAGGCTGAAGCAGCCACTCTGCGAGGTTCATGACAGCCGTTTAAATCTGGGATGGTGTTCTTTCAGTCATAATCCAAACTTCATAGCCATAAGTGGGGGTTGGAATGTAGATGGACCAATAAATCAAGAACATTACCCTTTGACTCAGCTCTTTCTTCACCATGACTAATCAAGTCAACACCCTTTTTATTGTGGATGAGGCCCCACTCTGTCAATTCATCTCCTGCTTCATCCTATCATCACTGGTGAACAAGACTCCCAGATATTTGAACTCCTCCACTTGAGGCAGAGACTCATCCCAGAACCAAAAGAAGCATTCCACCTTTTTCCGATGAGAATCAGACTTCGAGTGGATGCTCATCCCAGCTGCTTCACACTAAGCCATGAACCAACCCAGTGCACACTGTAGGTCATGGCCTGAAGAGACAAACGGAACTACAGGTGCTGATCATAAAATTAGAATATCATGAAAAAGTTGATTTATTTCAGTAATTCCATTCAAAAAGTGAAACTTGTACAAAGTATATGATATTCATTCATTACACACAGACTGATATATTTTAAATGTTTATTTATTTTAATGTTAATGATTAACTGACAACTAATAAAAACCCCAAATTCAGTATCTCAGAAAATTAGAATATTACTTAAGACCAATAAAAATTGTTTTTTATAAATGTTGGCCAACTGAAAAGTATGAACATGAAAAGAATGAGCATGTATAGCACTCAATACTTAGTTGGGGCTCCTTTTGCCTGGATTACTGCAGCAATGTGGTGTGGCATGGAGTCGATCAGTCTGCGGCACTTCTCAGGTGTTATGAGAGTAGGTTGCTTTGATAGTGGTCTTCAGCTCTTCTGAATTGTTTGGTCTGGCATTTCACATCTTCCTCTTCACAATACCCCATAGATTTTCTATGGGGTTAAGGTCAGGCGAGTTTGCTGGACAATTAAGAACAGGGATACCATGGTCCTTAAACCGGGTACTAGTAGCTTTGGCACTGTGAACAGGTGCCAGATCCTGTTGGAAAATTAAATCTGCATCTCCATAAAGCATGAAGTGCTCTTAAACATCCTGGTAGATGGCTGCGTTGACCTTTGACCTCAGAAAACACAGTGGACCAACACCAGCAGATGACATGGCACCCCAAACCTTCACGGACTGTGGAAACTTGAAACTGGACCTCAAGCAACATGGATTCTGTGCCTCTCCTCTCTTCCTCCAGACTCTGGGACCTTGATTTCCAAAGGAAATGCAACATTTACTTTCATCAAAATAACTTTGGACCACTCAGCAGCAGTACCAGGCGAGACGCTTCTGACGCTGTCTCTTGTTCAAGAGTGGCTTGACACAAGGAATGTGACAGCTGAAACCCATGTCTTGCACATATCTGTGCATGGTGGTTCTTGAAGTACTGAGTCCAGCTGCAGTCCACTCTTTGTGAATCTTCCCCACATTTTAGAATTAGTTTTGTTTCATCATCCTCTCCATGGTGTGGTTATCCCTATTGCTTGTACACTTTTTTTCTACCACATCTTTCCCTTCCCCTCTCTAATAATGTGCTTGGACACAGAGCTCTGTGAACAGCCAGCCTTGTTAGCAATGGACTTTTGTGTCTTGCCCTCCTTGTACAAGGTGTCAATGGTCATCTTTTGGACAACTGACAAGTCAGCAGTCTTCCCCATGATTGTGTAGCCTCCAGAACTAGACTGAGAGACCATTTAAAGGCCATTGCAAGTGTTTTGAGTTAATTACCTGATTAGAGTGTGGCACCAGGTGTCTTCAATATTGAACCTTTGTACAATATTCTAATTATCTGAGAGACTGAATTTGGAGTTTCATTAGTTGTCAGTTATAATCATCAACATTAAAAGAAATAAACATTTGAAATATATATGTCTGTGTGCAATGAATGAATATGATATACAAGTTTCATTTTTGAATGGAGATACTGAAATAAATAAACTTTTTCATGATATTCCAATTTTATGACCAGCACCTGTATATGATCTGCATCAAGCAAAGACAAGATGCTGAGCTCCCCGAACCTGAAACCTTACTTTCTGCTTAGAGATCTTGTCTATGAACACCCCCAGACAAATCGAAGACCAGGGTCAGCCTTGGCAGAGTCTGACCAGCAGTGAGAAAGAGCATGACTTTGTGCTGAGGATGCAGAAACAGTTCCTGCTTTGGTTATCCAGGGAACAGGCATCTCTTACAAGTGACTCGGAACACCATACTCCTGAAGGACCCCCTACATAAAACCTCAAGAAAAATGGTCATAAACCTTCTCCAGATATGCAAAACCCATGTAGACTGAAAAATCAAACTCCCATCACCTCTTTAGCACCTCAACATGGGTAAAGAGCTTGTCCACTGTTCTAGAACCAGGACAAGGCCACACTGCTCTTCTTGAGTCCAAAGTTTGACAATCAATTGGAGCCTCCCTTCCAACACCTTAGAGTAAACTTTTCCAGGGAGGCTGAGGCTGAGAAGTGTAAATGGACTGTACTTATATAGCACCTTTCTATCTAATCAAGATACTCAAAGCGCTTTACATTACAATCTGTGCCTCATTTACCCATTCATACAGCACTCTACCAGATCTCTACAAAGCTAATTGAACAAATCATTCTAAGAGACTGATCAGAGCTTTAGATCACATTCATACACCGATGAGACACACATTGGAGGCAATGAGGGATTCAGTGTCTTGCCCATGGACACTTCGGCATGTGACTGCTGGTGGATTTGAACCCCCAACTCTTGCATTGGAAGACGACTACTCTAACCACTCAGCCACAGCCGCCCCTGTGTGATCCCTCAATAGCTGAAATTTATTCTACAGCCCCCCTTTGTAAAAATCGGTACCGCCATCCAGGTCCGCCACTTTGCAAGTGTTGTCCCAGTCCTGTATGTGACATTGAAGAGACATGTCAACCATGACAGTCACACAATACCCAGCGCATTTCAGGACAAATCTAATTTGAGACCTGGCACCCTCCCTCCAGGGACTTTTTAACTACCTTGTGGACCTCAGCAATAATAATCATCTCATCTTCCCTAATGTCTTAAGACTCTGCCTCCTCAAAGGTGGACCTTCCAGAATAAACAGATCCTTCAAATTCTCCTTCCATCATTTGACAATATCCCTAGCTCAATTCAACAGTTTCCCACTCAAACAAAGGCTGTCTGAGTTATCAAATGGTTTGCCAGAACGTCCTCAAGGCCAATCAAAAGATCTTCTCCATGGCCCCTTCGAATTCCTCCCATGCTCGAACCACAATGTACCTATCAGCTGCTTCAGGAGTCCTTCAAGTCAGCCAAACCCTAAAGGCCTTTTTCTTCAGCTTGATGGCATTAAAAGTTGTTGCACCAGAATTGCTCAATTTTATTTTATTTATTATTTTTTTAATTGTCTTTTCTGTTTTAGCAAGCAAGTTGGTACTTTTAGTTTTTAGCTATAAATACAGTAGCTTATTTTAGATATTTTTCTGCATGAGATAATAGTTTAGCTAATTTTATCTAATGTTTTGCTGATTTTAACTTTAGCAAATAGTTTACATAGATAGATACAGATGTGTTCATTTTAGCATCCGTTTTGCTACATTTAGCTTCCGTATTGTTAATTTAAGTCTTTGTTTTACTAATTTTGGCTTTAACGTCTGTTCTGATCATTTTTACTGCAGCTTTGCTATTATTGCCATCTGCTTTGCTATTTTTTGGTTACCGTTTTCCCTTTTTTAATTTTGGCGTCTGTTTTGCTATTTTGACACCATTCTGTTACTTGTATCATGTTTTACTAAATTAACTAGTTATTGCTTTTAATTTTTAGCTTGTGTTCTGATGCTTTTAGCTTTTTTTCTCATTTTAATGCATTCTGCTCATCATAGCTATTGATTTAATTATTTTATCCTATGTCTATTTTAGCTTATGTTCTGCTTTTGTAATTTTAACAACTGAATTTTAGCTTCTTCAGCAAATTTCAGCAGTCATTTAGCATTCATTATTCATACTAGATTTTTTTTTACAGATAACATAATTTATCTAGATCTAATTTTTTCAGTGTGTGTTCTCCCCGCAAAAAAATATAAAAATAAAATTTATAATACATCGATATAAAGAACTGTCTCATCACAAAGGTCTGTATGTTTGAGGAATAGTGTGTTTTGCTTTATTACCATGATCTTTGACATACTGGTCCCAAAAAGCTTTCTGGAAATAGAAGCAAGAAAAGATGACTCAGTGAGGTAGGTTCTTTCAGAGTCTGCTTTTTTTTCCAGATACAGTTTTGTGCAAAGACCTGAAATTACCCTCTTTTCTTTGTGCTTTTCTTCCAAAGAGACAGACTTGGCGATACTTTAAAATGTTTCTGATTGGGCGTTCTTTAGGCTTTCTTAAAGTCTGTCTTTGAATTTTGGCAGCTTTTTCACTCATGTTTAGTTCACTGCTTGATTATGTTTAGCTTTGTTGCCAAAATGCAAAGGTGGGCAATTATATTTTCCGCTGTGTGTGTATGTGTGTTTTCTTGCATGCATCAGCAAAATAGCTCAAGAATCATTGGACAAAATGTAATGAAACTTGCAGAAAGTAATCATTTTAAGTGTACGTCTACAACTGATAAACTTTTACAGTCAGCTTGAAGATGGCTGCAGCAACCAACTGACCTTAGAAAACACAAAATGTCTAATATTTAGTCAATCGTACACATAATGATAATGATCTGGTCTATTATGCCCATTAGGCATAGACCTGACACACAAGACACCATCATGTATTTCTCATTTTCTAATCTAATTAGTGAAATTAGTGAATGAGTGAAAACTATGATTTTTGAACAAATAAATTATGTAAAATAAAAAAAATAAAATAAAAAAAGAGAACTAAATATGGGTGCCTCGTCTGTCAGGTCTAGTAGAGTAGTTTAACATAAGTTTTGGGTCAGTGGGTCACATGACATGAAAATTGTTGTACAAAAATCACTGAATGATTTTTTTTGTTATGTAGCTTTGAAATTTTATAAAAGCTGATACATTCATTCAAAAGCAACCTTAAAGTTGCAGTATGTAACTTTTATAAAAATATATTTTTATAAGTTACATATGTTTTTTTACATATTTGTTAAAACTGTCACTATGAAAATAGACTTGGGGTCTTGGTCTCGACTGGGTCTCGGACCCCAAAAGTTTTGGTCTTGTCTTGGTCTCGGTACACTCTGGTCTTAGTCTTGGTATCGGGTTAGGTGGTCTTGACTACAACACAAAGATGACCTAGAGTGAAGAGGTCTCTGAACAAAACACTGGAAGCCATTTTGTTTAAAGATGGCTGCCACAGCTACCTCAGAAAACTCAAAATCGACTAACTCAGTCATTCTTTGAAATATTGACATGAAATTTGGTTTGGTCCTTGCTGAGAACAAGTTGCTATACATTCCTAATGAAAATTAAATATCCAAGATGGCTGCCTTAGCTAAGAGAGAGAAAATTTGATAACTCGGCTATTTTAAAATCTACTGAGATTAAATTTGGTGTGGTGGTAGCTGAAAGCGATGCACAACACACTTTTTTTTTTCCCCCTTGTCCTGTCTGGCATTGTGACACTTAGAATGATTGTCTGAGTGTCAAAGTGATGCCCAACAGATTTACTTTTACAGGCAGAGCATTATGGCTGGCCTTAATGCTCCACTTGATGTATAAATTAAATTTTATTAGAATATGCTTTGGGTTTGTTCCAGATGTAATGGACACGGGGACAAAAAACAAAGATAACAAAGCAGGAAAGTGAGAGAAGGGTTAAAATGTAAAGAAGGAGATAGGAATAGAGGAGAGAGAGAGGGATAAAGAGAACACAAATCAACATCAATGAAGTCTGCCTCTAGACCTGCGGAAAGAGAAAAAAAAAAACCCGACAAAACCGAGAAACCACAACAGCAAACAACTTGTATAATGATACTTATAACATCATTAGAAAGTATTTTATACAGTACATGGTAATACAAGATATATTTAGTGGCCACCACAACCCAACTGAGTGTGTATCTGATAAACACCTGAATCTAAACACCTGTGTGAGCATGCTTATCACTAGAAGTTTTCTCCATAAAAATGTTCAATAGTGGATGTGGGGACCCATAAACCCATCCCCACAGGACACGAAGGTAACACAGGGAAGACCGGAACCACAGACACACAGCGGTCCCCAAGCCCGAAACTCCAGGAGTCCCCAAACAGGGACACACGCACCCCCCAGAGAGAGAAGCAAAGGGAAGCCCCAGGCGATCCCCAGCAACCACAATGCAGAAACCCCAGGAGGCTGTAGCACACACAGGCCCTGCCGGCAACCCGCCCCTCCAGAGTGGATCCGGCCATGGACACCAAGCCCCGAGTCCTGAGGTCATACCACCCCCCAACAGAGGCCCGACAGAGCCAGGGCACCCAGGCCCCCGCAGGCAGCCACCAGGGCAGGCCCGCACACAGCCCACCACCCAGCCTCAGCTGCTGAGAGCCACCAATGCACCGGCGGCAGGGGGGCCCACCACCAGAGGGGAGCACGACACACCAAATGGGGGGCCAAAACTGATCCAAGAGAGGGGACCACCTAAAACCCAACCTGAGACATAAACAGGCACACAGGCGTCCATACGCCCCACCCACCCGACAGCGACCGCAAGCCGGCCCCAAGCCGGGGGCCAGAGCAGCAGGGAGCAGCAGCTGAGGAAGGCCGGCCCAGCACACCAATGCATCCCTACAGCCCCACACCACAGGCCCGGAGAGGCCCCGGCACGCCACCCATGCACTCCCCCACACACACAGCACCCCCCACCGTGAATGTCACATCAGGCATACCAGTCAGCACCCTGTTGAAGTGAAGCCACGCCCCTGACCACCACCACGCACTACCAATGACCACACACACACAACCACAGCCAACCCCCCGCCAGAACCCGGCAGCCACCCCAGCCAAAGGGCTGGCCATCGCAACCAGGAACCCTGATCAAAAGATCCAAACAATCCAGGGAGAACCGGCGCACCAGCCCCACCCCCAATCGCCCCCCCAAGGCCCAATACCCACCCACAGCCCAGACCCCAACCAGGTAGCCTAACCCCCCCTGCCCCCGACCCCAAATTTCAGATGGAGAATGAGGGTTTAAGAAAAGCTGGAAGACCCAACTCCTCCCTCCTCCCACTCAAATAAGATGTTGATGCATGTTGTTATATAGTGCGTTTAAAATGGGGGGATGAGGCGGCGACTGGCACAGATCCACCCCCTCCCCAGAGAGCAGGCAGTGCCCGTTCACCCTCCCAACCCTTGCCCAGAACCCTAAATGTCTACAAGCTGCATATGAGAGTGGGCACAGGTCCCGGAGGTGAGAATGATTACACATCCCACCCCCTATATGCCACCATGTGCCCACTCCAGACCCTATATATGCATGTGTCGTGAGAATGTTATATGCGAGAGTCTAGGTTTGATAAAATTGGGGCCCAGGTCTCCACGAACCACGGATATGGAGGATCCTCCCCGCAGCTCAGTAGTGCACCTGAACCCCAAGGCCCTGCTTGAGTGGTGGTGTGATGGAGTGGGTGGAGGAAGACGTCGGGATGGGGAGCCCACTCCAGACCCTATATATGCATGTGTCGTGAGAATGTTATATGCGAGAGTCTAGGTTTGATAAAATTGGGGCCCAGGTCTCCAAGAACCACGGAGATGGAGGATCCTCCCCGCAGCTCAGTAGTGCAACTGAACCCCAAGGCCCTGCTTGAGTGGTGGTGTGATGGAGTGGGTGGAGAAAGACGTCGGGATGGGGAGGAACAACTGAGGTGGCAATGCCCTCCCAGGTGGTCAGCTCCCCCACTGACCCCAATAGGCAACCCCCATTCTCTGAGATTCACCAGGGGAGGGAGGCTCCAGTGCATCCATCCAGGAGCAGGAGGCAGCCGCACCACCAGGGACCCAGGCCACGGACCGGCACATAGCCCCGAGGACCGACCAGAACACGGGCCAGTGACCCCCCACCCCACCCCCCGAGATCATCCAAACCCCTAACCCGTATCCCCAGCTCAACACCCAGCCCCCCAACCAAAGAAGCCACCAAACTCGGCCAGTGACAATCAGCAAGGAGTGCCCGAACAGCTGCAGACAGCGCACCATGACGACCGAGAGCGCACCCCCCACCCCCACAAAAGGACCGACATGTCCACCACAGCAACACCCACAATGAAAGGGCCCCATGCAAGGGAGGGCACATGCCTAACACGCCCAGACACCCCCGGGCCAGCAGTGCAGAGCCACCCAAGCAAAAGCCCCTCCACCCACAGCCCCCCATAGCCCAGACCCCCAGCCAAGCACCAGACCGCAGCCACAGCCAGGCAGGAAGACACCCAGGCTGAATCCACCCATCGCCCCCTCCCCCATCCCCCATGGCAGAGGCCCCAAAGCCCACCAGCGCACCAAGGGCCACCAGGCCAGGGCCACCAGGCCGGGGCCAGGCGCCGGCGCATGCCCAAGACCCCGACAACATACCCGCCAAAACCCGAAACCCCCGGATCAAGCCGGGACCCCAGCCCAGGAGCGACACTCCCCCAGAACCCCGAACCCGTGCCCATCCCAAACCCACCCAGGAGCAGCCAGGCTACCAGGCCAGTAACCTGTGCCTGCTGGCACAGACCGCCCAGAGGCAAGCCAGCAGAGGTCAACGCCCAGAACCACCAAAGCCACCTCCCCAGTTGAGCGCCATTGCCCCGGGCCCATGACCCCCCCCATGCCCCCAGCCCTGATACCCCCCCACACACACACATCAACAACGACGCCCCACGGGACGAAATCAAAGGGGTTTACCCACCTCCACTACGGGTTGGAGTCCAGAGAGATTGTTCTGATGTGGAGGTACAGACTGTCTCAAGGCTGATGTAATCCAACGAAAGGTCTTTATACTGTTTAATACTAAGAGTATTTTTATTTTTCCAATTCATGAGTATATCATGTATTTCTCATTTAAAAGCATTTTCTAATTAGTTATTGAGTGAAAACCATGATTTTTGAACAAATAAATTATATAAAATTGAAAAAAAAAAGAGAACTAAATATGGGTGCCTCGTCTGTCAGGTCTAGTAGAGTAGTTTAACATAAGTTCTATTTCGTATAAGCTTCGCCCTTTAAGGCTGTCGCTGATGGGTTATCCCGTGATGCGAAGCATTACACTGAAAAATTTAGTC